AACAAAATGACTTGGGGTGCATCTGAGATTACAGGGGGCGCAGCAGTAGTAGGTTTACATGAGCAATAGTGGCCGGCAACAGCAATGAAAAATAGCATTGAGGTTATGGTCCCCAATGAACAGATTATGGCATTTGTTATGTTTTGAAACCAAGCAAGTGAGAACATTTCAAGTGAGTTAAAAGTGCAATCCTGAAATATTTCATATAGTCCAAAGTGGATTATGGCAAGGAAAAGCACAAAAGCTTCAAAACTGTACTGAGAAAACAAATGAGAAAATTGTAAAGCAAGGCAAATATTATTTGAACCAGCTCATGGTTTGAAATGGCAAACATTGAAAAGCAAAAGTATTATTAAAACCATGTACTAAATAATCACTTTGGTCCCATCATATACTCTGGGAAGAGAATATTTACTGTGCTTAAAAACTGGTATCACATCATCATGTGAGGTTGACTTTGTGACCTGGAGAACATTTCAGCTGCAACATCAGCTCGTTGATAAGCTTGGGATATGAGATCTGTTTGTAGCCATTCTTGGTGAAGGCATCTGTGCTATTGTATGCATTATTTTTGACCCAACATTTCTACAGGCATGGCAGAATATGGCTCTATTTTCACATGAATGTTCTAGCCATTGTCTATTTTTATACCACGAGCTGCAAAATGACCGCCTTACCCCACTGTACAGGCGGGTACTTGTTTAGATATATACCTGGGCAGGCTCTGTTTTGCCGTGGTATCCTGGCACCTGCGGGCCGCAGAGGGGCGGCGTAGTTTCGGGCGACGAAGACTGCTGCTCCGGGGGCGAGTCAGGCTAGTGTCCACAACGGAGGGTAACGTGATGTCAAGCTAGTGNAAGGAAGAAGGCAGAGAGGAAGTAAACAGAGAGGAAGTAAACAATCAATCAATCAATGTTTATTTATATAGCCCAATATCACAAATGTTACATTTGGAGACAAATGTAACATTTGTGATATTGGGCTATATAAATAAACATTGATTGATTGATTGTTTACTTCCTCTCTGTTTACTTCCTCTCTGCCTTCTTCCTTTATCTGACGTCCAGTGCTCCGTCTTTTAACCTCTTTTCCTTTCTCTTTCTTGATCCTCCTTAGCAACCTTCATTATAGTCCTTGACAGTGATCTGTACTACTGTATTAACAACGTGTCACATGTTAAGAATTTACAATCAGAATCCAGTATTCAACTAAGCCGTGTAATACAAATTGTTAGTAGCCTTAATGGCCTACACAGTTGTTATGCTATACCACATTGCCCTTCACTGGATGTATAATGAGCTGCACTAAACTACATTTTTGCATTTAAAATACCTAGCCATTCTTTTGCGGTTATTTTGGTGAAAGTAACTCAAAAATAATATAAAAGTAGTGTAACTCATTACATTTCAGAGACAGTAATATTGTAATGTAACTTAATACTTTAAAAAGACAGTAATAAGTAATATGTAATATATTACATTTTGGAAGTAACTTGCCCAACACTGGTCACTGCACCACTCTATTAAAGATGGTCTGTTCTTTGCCTATTCCTGTTAAATGTTCTTTGAGTTCATGTTATACAGAAAATATTGTAATGATAATCTTATCATCAACACATATATACAAGGCAAGGTATAAGGCAAGTTTATTTATATAGCACCTTTCAACACAAGGCAATTCAAAGTGCTTTGCAAAAAATGAAAGACATTAAGAAAATGGCATTTCAAATCAGTCATTAAAAAGCAAAGATAATAAAATAAACATTAAAAGAAAAAAATACATGGATAAAAGTTACAGTGCAGTTTAAGATGTGAATAGTTCAATTAAAAGCAGCGGCAAAAAGAAAAGTCTTCAGCCTGGATTTAAAAGTAGTCAGAGTTGCAGCGCACCGGCAGGTTTCTGGGAGTTTGTTCCAGATATTTGGAGCATAATAACTGAANATATGTTAACCTTCATTATAGTCCTTGACAGCGGTCTGTACTGCTGTATTAACAACGTGTCATATGTTAAGAATTTACAATCAGAATCGAGTATTCAACTAAGCCGTGTAATACAAATTGTTAGTAGCCTTAAGGGCCTACACAGTTGTTATGCCACACCACATATGCCCTTCACTGGATGGATAATGAGCTGCACTAAACTACATTTTAGCATTTAAAATACCTAGCCATTCTTTTGCGGTTATTTTGGTGAAAGTAATATAAAAGTAGTGTAACTCATTACATTTCAGAGACAGTAATATTATAATGTAACTTATTACTTTAAAAAGACAGTAATATGTGATATATTACATTTTGGAAGTAACTTGCCCAACACTGGTTAAGAAACAGAATTTGGCTGTCAGGGATAGAACAAAATGTGTGGAGGCTGATTGCAAAGCCTTTCAAGGATTGTTTTAGCATCATATGTAAACAATGGACTCATAAATACCCGGTGATTCTGCAGTGTGAAATAGAAATGATAGTATTCAAACTTTTTTGCATTGATTTATTCACAGTTGCAGAGGGCCTGGTCTTGAAGGCTGCCAGAATAAAAGGTGAGTAAATATAGTAACACTGATGCTGAAGGATAAACTAAGTTAGGCATTCTCATCTCTCCTTCTCTCCTTCTCTCCTTCTCTCCTTGTTTATTGAATTTGTAAATGTGCTCTGTTTTCCCTGCGTTGTTAAATGAGCTCCCACCTGTCTCTCGGCAGCTCTGGCCTCTCCATGATCGCGGCTGGTGTTGTCGGTGGGCTGCTGGCTGTTCTTATTGCAGGCCTGTCTGTGTTTGTGTTGATGCGCCGACGCCACATCAAGAGGAAGAGAACGACGCGCAGACTTCTGCAAGAGAGAGAGGTGAGATGAGGGGACTGAGTCACCACTCTTGTAGAGACATCAAGCTGTCGAGAGGGGCTTGTCTTTGATCATTTACAGTGAAACAAGCCTGATTTATGCTGAGACGGTTATTTTTACCCATCGTCTTTTGCTTGTAAGGGCAAGTGCAGGCATCTGTTTCAAATGATATATACAGTATGGGACTTTTCTCAATGTTTACATTTGTTTAAAGACTCTCTGTTTGTGAGACTGTATATAATATATTCAATCCTTCCTTTCCAGTTGGTTGAACCCCTAACTCCTAGTGGAGAAGCACCAAACCAGGCTCTGTTGCGAATCCTGAAGGAACCCGAATTCAAGAAACTCAAAGTGCTGGGCTCAGGAGCCTTTGGTACAGTTTACAAGGTAATAACACGTTTAATGCTGTTTTTTGTCTCCAATCACCTTTTTGGCAAAATTCGGCTCCAGCGTCGAGCTTTATTAGAGCTGGAGCTGAGCAGTTCTGCATGTGCCAAGTTTACATAACCAACACCCGTCACTGTTTTCGCTCATCTACATCTGTTGTCAATTTTTCAATTAAAAGACACATTTCTAACTTGCCAGATCATGCATGAGTGACTCCACTCAGTGTACATTTACTTAGTATTAATCTCATCAGGATATGTTTTTACACAGTGACATTGTGGGGACTAACTTGTCACACAGAGACAAAAGACTGATCTCTACTAAGTTTTCTTTTAGGGTTGATTTAAGATTAATCTTTGGGTAAATCTACAGAGGGAAAATGTAAATAAATCCAATATTCTTACTGAGAACAAAAACAAGTGAGTGCGTGTGCTTTTTAATGATTAAGAGCCATTTCAGTTTTAGACCTTGAGGGACATTTTGTAAAGTAAGGACATTCAAATGGCTATTTGAGTGTTAAGATTGTGTTATAGGAAAAAGGTTGGAATAAGGTTAAAGGACTAGGCATTTAGTTAAAGATAGTCAGTGTTGGAAGAAGTCAAACTACCAATTTCGCCCTCTTTTAATTTCAATTCATAGTTCTGCATTCATTCATTTTCTTAAGCAGAATATCATAAAAGATAGCATGAGAATGTAGTTTGAGGTTTTAAAAGCAATTAAGCGATTTGGGGCGGGTCGCTGTTGAATATCACGTATGATTGTATTACTTTATTTAGGTCGACTACATGAAGTGGAGTCAAAAGAATTATAGTACACTCTGAAATGAAACATGAAAGTAGCATAAATAGAAGTACCTTAAAGTAAATGTGCTTTTCCCACTCCTGGCAGGGTTTAATTTGAGCAATACATGAGCGTCACTGTTTGTACATTTTACTGTACATTTGCATGTTTTTACTTGTGTTCAGTTGATGATTCAAGTGTGCAAAATAACAAAATGTGTCCATACAGGGCCTGTGGGTTCCAGAGGGAGAGGATGTGAAGATCCCTGTGGCCATCAAGGTTTTGAGAGAGGCTACTTCACCAAAAGCAAACAAAGAGATCTTGGACGTAGGTTTAGTGATTCATGTGGTACATTTTGTAACTCTACGCTTACTGTAATACTGAGTCAGAACCAAAACAGCCATTCATTTAAAAATACATGTCCAAGAATGCTACAGTGTGTGCTACTGGTAGGAGAAGAAAGTCAAAAAGTCTGTGCACATTATCACAATATAATAAAATATAATGCTCAGAAGTCGGAAGTAGTTGATTAATATGAGAATAATTGCTTCCAGATGTCAAATTAATAGAAGGGCCTCCTGTAATACATAGCACATGCAACTTTAATTTAAATGTAAAACTTCCTATTTTCTTTGTATTAGAACGTGTCAAGTTTCTACAAAGTGACCTGTTACTGGCCTGTAAGGAAATGAGATTAATTCATTGGAGGACTGAGGTGGGCGTTGCTTAGTAACCCAAGGCAGAGGTGTTCTGGAAAGGAATGTAGATCTGTAGCCGCACTGAGAGAGCAGCCGGCATTATGATAACTGATGAATGTGCATCTTAAATACTGTGATTTTGCGATCATGTTTCTCAGTCACCGTACATCTGGAAGTTGAATCAGACATACGCGTCCTCTGAACCTTTTGCCTTGGGGGCAGAGGCGTGTTTTTTAAATTACAGGGCTCCTAATAATAAAGTGGCTATGCACTGAACAATGTTCATACTGTAAGAGTCCTGTGGATAATGTTTGGGGTACATTTAATGTACTCACGGCTGGAGTTCTCCTTAATAAAGCTAAGTTCAAGTGCTGTTTGCACGGTTTGGAGGCAGCCTGTTGATGGTGGCCTGCGAGGATTATCCCCATGGTTCTTTCTTTAATTCGCTTTTCTATTATGGTGACTGAGAGTTTCCACTTGCAGCTGAGCCACATAAAATATGCTTGGCTGGCTATGACTGCTGCTAAGAAACTTATCACCAAACACTGGACATTTAAACAAATGTCATGTTTCTTATGCTATCAGTTTTTTTCATTGAAGATGGAAACGGCTGTGCGAAGTATTTCTGAAACAGACAATTTATTCGTAGCTATTTTAAAATAATATGAATTGTCTCCTTTTTAGATCTAGATAAGGGGGTAAAAAACGTTTGTTAGTTTCACCTGACTGCTTCCAATTTATATAATGCATTAAATGAAAAAAAGATCTAACTGTGCCCCACAGGAGGCTTATGTGATGGCCAGTGTGGAGCACCCCCACGTGTGTCGTCTGCTCGGCATCTGCCTGACCTCCACAGTGCAGCTCGTCACTCAGCTGATGCCGTACGGCTGCCTGCTGGACTATGTCAGAGAGAACAAGGACAATATCGGCTCCCAGTACCTGCTCAACTGGTGTGTGCAGATAGCCAAGGTGAGAGAACAGCTTGTAAAGGCATCAACTTACATAGGGGGTGGGTCTGTTAAAAAGCTACATTGAGCTTTACTTGCAAACACAAAACAGTTTATCCTGTCTCTATGTCTACCAGATAAAAACTAAATAAGTGGGGTTTTTTTGCAGGGCAAGTTTTGTTTTGGCAACTGCTAGAAAGAAATACTGTTGACTGCTATGATGTATTTGTTTATGATGACAGGTTAATCAAGAGAGCACTTTTATATCTTGGATCAAGCAATGTTTACATGCCATATCAGACAGCTTTTGAAAAAGAGAACTGCGCTTATGGAACAACTCGTACTCTATCGTTTGTTTGACTAAAGGGTATGAACTACCTGGAGGAGCGCCGCTTAGTACACCGTGACTTGGCAGCGAGAAATGTTTTGGTGAAGACTCCTCAACATGTTAAGATCACCGACTTTGGTCTGGCCAAACTCCTCAACGCAGACGAGAAAGAGTACCATGCAGATGGGGGAAAGGTCGGTGTCTGTCTGCCAAAATCATTTCCAAAAGAATGTAATACATCCACATTTGTAGTTTTGCTCTAGATTGTAGCTATTGTAAAAGAGACATGACAACAGAAATGTTCCTTCTCTTATAGATGTTTCTTTGTGAGACTGAAAGCAATATTTTCCACAAAGAAAATATGTAGTGTGTGTTTGCTTATAAATACAGGGGGACCTGCATTATAGACATTCTGTAGCGCCCAATAATGTAATGGTTTCACAATATTATCATACATCCCAAATATTTGTATTATTTTGCTGTATTTTGTGACACAAACTAATCAAATCCATTGCTACAATTGAAATCTATTATGTCTATGGTAAATGTTATCATTTCCAGATAAAAAAGGGATTTTTGTACGTTAGACTATTGCAATTCACCACCACTAGGTGACAGTGTAGTTACTTGTAGTATGTGTTATAGACAGTGATTGATTTCAGTTCAACAACAATTCCTTCTACTGATGAATTGATGGCATTAATCTTGCCAGCAAAAATGATCTGACGCAGCACCGTGCTGTATTCATTAAAAGACAGCATTTTTTTTGTAGGAAAATATGTTCTATGTTAATGATCCAGTGAAGCCTATTGTCCAAATGTAATCAAAGGCACATTAGGGGGGCATTTTTATATTATTATAGCCTTTTTGGAAGGTGGCAGATGAAAAATATAACGTCACTTTGTTTTGTTCTGCAGGTACCAATAAAATGGATGGCTCTTGAATCTATCCAGAACCGAACATACACACACCAGAGTGACGTATGGAGTTATGGTGAGTCTTTACGTGGAGAACACATGCTCTGCCTCTAACCCAGTGAGGCATTAACACTGCTTGCGATGCAGACTGAGCTCGGATCGTTGTGAAACTTCAGATATGTAAAACAGCTGTGCTTCTATACTCCTGAGTTTTGGTGACAGTCTCACTGGAGGAATATTTATTCATTGCCAAATAAAGAGCTTAAACAGCGAAGGCAGTATTGAAGCTAGGATGTTGTTTTTGGATCAGTCAACATTTCAAAACAGAAATTGAGAACATCTTGATAGCATCTGCGAGTTTTAGGACGCAGGTAACACACCTACACAGCAGCAGTCTCAAATGGGCAATAACACAACAGAAGGGATTGTTGCCACAACCCACGTTAGTATTTCTTCCAGCACCAGCAGCACAGGTGCCAACACACTGAACAGCTTTCTTGCATTGGTCAGCCTCCAAATCTTCTTTCTCCCGAGGGTTTTGATGATGCCTTCCGCTCAATATGGCGAAAGCATCAACAGATCCTGGCAGAAGTGACAAGCTTCCTTTCCTCCTTTTCCCCCTTCCTCAGTTCCTCCAACACAGATATGCATCCTGCTAACTCCCACTCCCGCAAGCAGAGCCAATTTGTCAACATAGTGATTTTGATTCTGTGTTATATTTGGGAAGCTTGCATCCTGTCATTCTCATTTCCTCTCTTTTATTGGGAGCCATACAAAGTGAATGACAGCTCAACAGACTGACATATACCAACTGTCCTCCTCTCTGTAGGCGTAACAGTTTGGGAGCTGATGACATTTGGGAGCAAACCGTATGATGGGATTCCAGCCAGTGACATAGCTGGGGTCCTGGAGAAAGGGGAGCGACTGCCTCAACCTCCAATCTGTACCATCGACGTCTACATGATCATGGTGAAATGTAAGTGTAATGGGCTATGTTTAAAACCATTTTTTAATAGTGTATTCACATGATGTATAACTTTTTGAATCAGATTCTACAGGTCAACTGTAAGTTTTATATTATTTCCTTGTCTAATGAGAATATTTGCTGATGTGTGTGTGTACAGGTTGGATGATTGATGCGGACAGCCGACCACGTTTCCGGGAACTTATAGCTGAGTTTACAAAAATGGCACGAGATCCTTCTCGATATCTGGTCATTCAGGTAGGATTTCACATCACATCTTTACTCACAGTTTATTTGTCTTTGGATAAAACCATTGTACACCAAGCTGACTAGCTACATGTTATTTTCTATCCCAGGGCGATGATCGCATGCACCTACCGAGTCCTTCAGACAATAAATTGTACCGCAGCCTGATCAGCGGAGATGGCATGGAGGACGCTGTGGACGCTGACGAGTACTTGGTGCCACAACATGGCTTCTTCAGCAGCCCGAGCACCTCCATCACCCCGCTGCTTCACTCCACAGTAAGCTACTTCCTATTAAAAAGTCCCAATCAAAGGTTGTGGAAAAGGTGTGTCTATGTGTATCTATCTCTCAGGCTCAGGTGTCAATAGTTGAACTTTGGCACAGATGTTGGCAATAGCTGAGAAAATGATGCATCCTGGCACAAACAAAACTAAGATGGGATTTATTCAATGCCACTGCTGATATATCAGAAAAATCTTTCAGAGATGAATCCTTTCTGCTTTGTGGTCGGTATTTTAAATGCAAAATGAATGGTATAATTTAGACATTTCTCACTTTATAAAGCCTCTAAAAACCTTACAAATCTAAAGCTGCTGAAACCACTGGTCCAATTCAAAAATGTTAATGCACTTTCAGGCCAGAAGAGTTGTTTTTTTTGTTGGTAAAAGTATTTTAGGCAAACAACCATGTACTGGCTAGCAAAATAGTTATTATGCAAATGGCCTCTGAGTCACTCATCGTGAAGACTGATGCATGTGTATGTGAAAGGTGGAGTAGTTTTACTGAAATGCTTACACATACATTGTATACAATGTATATACAGATTTGAAAATACTAAGCTACAATTAGTTGCATTAAGCTATTACAGTATTACCTGATCCACCACATTTACTTCTATTCATATAATGGTTTTACATATATTGGAGATCCAGAATATTATCACAATATTGTCCTGAGTAAGTTTTCAGTCAATACAGAGTTAACTGTAAAAAAAAAAGTAAATGTAATGATACACAGATACCTTTACATACACACACACACATTGAGTCACTCACATTGACCTTTTTTCGAAACAGTGTAAGAAGAGTAGCTTGCCAGATGCTACGGGGGAATGATTACATTTCTCAGAAAAACAGCAGCAATAATTTTTGATTAAGAAATTGCACCACATGCACCAGGAGTGCACATTTTACCGACATGCAGTCAACTGTTTGACATTTTAATTGTGCTATTTTAGCAGTGTTTTGGGAAATGGGGTTTCTGCATAAATCATTACACTGAGAGACGTAGTGGAAATAAACTCAGTCATTTTTTCAGCTTGTTGGAAGTAATTAGCTTTCACATGAAACATAACACTGACAGTTAAACTGAATCCAGGTGATCGAACAGCAACAGTCAAACTGATTGACCTTAAGTGGAATTCAAGCAGGTAGTCGTACCTGACTTGAACCCTGCTCATATTCTGTTTAACTGTGACCAGAGGGACTATTTCTCCACTTCCTGACCCCTACCCACTCATCCTCATCATCTTCCCCTCTCTCACATTTCGTCCCTGCTGCCCTTTGATTGATGAGAACTGAAAAGGAGAACTCTTCTACCTCAGGTTCAGTGAAGGCCATGCGTAGGTCTGGCTCTCACACCTGGGAACATTGCCCGCACTAACAGCCTGGTTAGCCGATACAAACTTTAAAGTTTGATTACCTTTGCAGGCACCTTTAAAAAAATCTGCGTCCAATAAAAGCTCAGCCGAGGCCTGCTTTTGTAATATCACAGAAGGGGCATGGCCCACTGTGGTCAAGTTTTTTTACAGATGGTTGCTCCTTCGGCGTGTTTAATTTCCTTTTCTTGTTGAAAGTAATTGCATCGCCACAGCTGTCACTTTGTTCTCTGTATTCGCCCGGTTTCCATGGTTTTAACACCATTCACAGTCCTTTCACTGGAGGATATGACAGACACAACAAAGCTGGTGAGATTGCCTGAATGAATATGAATCGGCTTGACGGACGTTTATTTCGATCCTCATCAGCTTGTACAGAGATGACAGCTGTGGTTTCTCTGGTACCATAAAAACACATTATTATCACTTTTCAAAGGGAAGTAAACGTCCCCTGGGAGGCTTGAAAATAAACCACAGTGACCGAAAGTAAATATTTGCCTAATTTAAAATGAGCACTATCTTTGGAGTATGCATTGAGCTGATAATGCCTGTCCATTTAAATGGTAAACCTTTCTTCACTTAAAGTCTACTTTATGGTGCACAGAGGCTTATTAAAATGTGTGATGGATGTATTAAAAAAAATTCTTGCTCTGCATTTAAAGTGGTGTCATCATGAGATATTAATTCATGTCTATGTTCATTTACAGAGCCTCAACAGTAGCATTGGAACGTGCCACGGCAGAAATGGCATATTGGTAAGACGAAATCAATCATTTTGAACTTAGAGCAAATTGATTTCCTCTTTGTATTATTTCCTTTTTGAGTTTTATGCACCACAGCCCTAAAAATGTCCTTCATTTGTTGTAGAATGGATTCCCGAGCAGAGATGGCAGCATGGTCCTCCGATATATTCCTGACCCCACAGACAAACTTTTAGATGACGCCTTCCTACCATCTCCAGGCAAGTATCCTCTAACTTCAAAACGCTTCAGTGGCACCACTATTTGATGTATGTAAAGTGAATCTCATTGAGAAAGTGGGCCATCTAGTGGACAAGGTGCTGTACTTATTGCACCGAAAACTTCTTTAGTATTGGTGGATGCAGTTGAGGGATGAAATGAATAGTGGCAGAATTAAGGCTGTACTCTTGACCATAACAACATATATTATCATCTATATATTAGCAACAGTACCACCTTATTTATATTTTTCTAAATTCCATACAGGTTGTTTTTTTTGTCTCGTTGAGAGCACTAGCATTAGTCAGCAACCTTTTAGTACCCACAAGCTTTGCAATTCTCATTGTTCTTTTGATGTCATCAGAATGTACTTCTTAGTTAAAAATAAATGCAATGCTTTTCGACAGCACTAAACTTCCTTGAATGAACCATTAGGGAGACTTTTCAGAACCTATGCTCCTCAAAAATGTATTGACCCCTGATATAAGTAAAGCAAATGTGCTGCTCACTGTGATAAGCTGGTTGCCTATAGCATGTTTAAAGTATTTTGTAAACCTGGTACTCAAATGTTTTTAGTATTGCCCTTCAATTGCAAGAGCCATATTTCTAAGAGATTCTTCAAAATCAATGCAGACAAGAGGCATAGACATCCCTATTTAATAGTTATAGCCCTTGTAATAATGAAGCTTAACAATCACTTGATGCTGCATTTCCCATAATGTGTCTTAATAGGCATTCACTTGTTTTAAAAGTCATGCCCATATATTACACAGAATACATTATATAAATGTTTTGACAGTTTCTGTCTGAAAGTTTGGAAATCAATCTGCAAACTTTTTGGTTTGACAATGATCCACAGTGATTTAATGACTTGCAGTTAATGGTCTGAAACATACCACCATTATGTTCTGTTCATTTAATAAATGACCTGCTATTTTCTATATAAGCTGTGTGTACACTTAATGAGAACCTATCAAGTGTTGTTGCTAATGTCACTGACTTTCTTACAGAATACATGAACCAGAACGAAGTCTCTGATGTGATGAATCCCATCTACCAGCACCCGGGTCCTCCTCGCACCATGCTGCCCACCATCTCCTCAGACGACACAGAGTCAGATTACCTGAACTGCTTTAAAAACGAGGCAACTGGACCCGAGTATCTGAACGAAATCCCGCTCCAAGCCACCCACCCACTCCACTCGAATGGCACGGTCCACAGCGTTCAGAAATACCAGCCACAGAATAGCATGGACAACCCGGATTATCAATACGATTTCACTCCCGCCTTCAAGACCCACGCCAACGGACACATCCCAGCGGCGGAGAACGCAGAGTATCTGGGCCCAGACTGAGGTCTTATTGGATACAGACAATACGTTTCCTGTTCCATTAAGGAAAGGCATTGATGTCTTGGATGGGAAAACATAGCTAAGTGGTACCATCAATTATCATTTATGTTAAGTGACACTTGGCTGAGCTTTCCGTGTTGTTTGCATGCAGCCACACAAAGCCCCTCTCGTTTCAAAGAGTTGTTCTTACTACAAAGGACTTTTTCTTGATGAAAATGGCACTCTTACAGGACTCAGTTAACCTGAGAGTTGCTGGAAAAAAAGCACTTCGTTCATCTGTTGTAACCCCTGTCAGAAAGTAAAAATCGCGTTTGAATGTTATGCACCAAATGCTGCAAGTGATCCTAATGTGTCAGTGGAGGCAGAAGCTCTACTGCAAACAACAGCAACTGGCAGCTCAACCCCAAAAAAAACTAAGGTACATGTGTTGCAGAAACATTGGTTGTATACGCAAGGGACACAGTGGTGCGCTCACTTGACACTGAAGTGAAGGCTTAGAGCGTTTCTCTGGGGTGACGGTAAGACGATTAAAGGGTTTTAAGAGTAAAATGCTGGCTGGACTGTTGGGGACCTCGGAGGCCTGACAATACTCATCCTGAGGGATGAGTCAACGAGGAAACAAAATGTTGCAATGTACAGAATGTATAGTCAGTTTAAATGGGAAACTGGTGAAAAGTTTAAATATGTTACTTTTATGGTCTAAGACAGTTCTGTATGAACTTAAAATGGGTTGCTTCCTCATTTAGATGGAAACAAAAGAGTGCGTGATATCACACAAACTATAAAAATAATGTAACGGTAAATAGCAATTGCTATTGTTGTATTTACACATCTGTGTTTACAGTAGCTGTTGGAAATTAGCAGGACCTCTGTGGCATGGGCCATATTTATGTGAACCCCAAAAGTGAAAATCTGAGCTTTTTATCAGTATCGCACTTTAGTGTGTGTGCTTGTAAAATGTTATACTTGGGAAGCTACAGTAAAAAGTAAAGGGAATAAAACGACCTCTGTTTAAATGCATATCAATAGTTGTACTTTGTGTATGTTATATTTGTCCACTTGTTTGAAAAATGCTGTTAGGACTGTCTTAGTCATGTCAGTAATGTGTTTAAATTTTAGATTAGAAGTGTTTCCCTGTAAACGTGAGTTGTTTTACAGACTATGAATAGTTTCATGTCTGGTCAGAAACAAATATTTGTTCTGATGTATCTGTTTTATTACCTGGAGACTTGTATTTGTTTGAATTTCTTTTTTTAACAAAAGTGTATACAGTTGTTTCACGCCGGGTGTTGACACCATATCTATGAATTTGCTCTTAGCTTTTAAGTCTTTTAGTCTTGCAAGAGCATTACATTTGCAAATATTCTTCCTAGTTTTAAAGGAAAATATTATTGTAGCAACATGAAAGCCTACTTTTGCAGATTTTACACAGGTACATGTACAGAAAACAGAGATTATACTGTAATATACCCCAAAATAGTCACCTATAATTTATACACAGGGTTGTCACATCATACATGAATATGCACTTATTCCTGAATTGTGATCATATCATTCAAAGGTGAACATGAATAAATCTTTTTCTATGGAAATACCATTTGTCTGTTTTCTTTTCCCATAGCTTTAAAAAGTATAGGGTGTGATACAGGAAGAGGGACTTGTGATCCCAGTGATTTATCTACTTAGTCTTTTTATCTTGATTCCTGCAGAACTTCAAGTAGCAATTTGATGAAACACTCTTGGCAGATAATAAGCATCTTTTTCCAATAAACAGATTGAAGGTGGTGTTTGCATTGATGTTGTTTATTCTCCTAAAATATGGTAATGCCTGCAGTCTTTAAGACTGAAGAAACTACAATAAATTAAAATGTTGACCTGTGTGGAAATTAGTAGATGAATCAATTTGATTCATTTATTATAATGAGTTAAGAGCTCAGGATTTCTGAAAAAAAATGTTTTAACTTTAGAGTTAAAGATGATAAAATCGAGTACGGGGTTAGAAATTGGCTTTTTAAGTTTATATTTTAGTTTTGCCAGTTTTAGCGATGTTTGAGTTGGTTTCAAATCCTAAATATTTCTTAACCCTTAGATGCACGAGTGACTTGTTTGATAGTCCTATACCCCCCACCCTAACCTTCCCTTATATTGTAAAGTGATTTTGAGTCCTTGAATAGCCCTATAAAAATATAATGTATTATTATTATTATACTGACAGGTATCAGATCTTGCTGTGTAAAATAATCTTCCTGACAGTTGTCACTTGTGATGTAGTCTGTGTGGTCTACAGTGAATGTATTCCTGACAGCAANGGAATAGCTGGAATATGAAATGATAAAAAAATGTAATTACAAAGATACTTCAAGAAAACTACCTCACCGGGTCCAAAAAGACCCACTTATGGAAGCTTGGGGTAGTAATACAAAAAATACAATTTCTTAAAATGTATAACATTTAAATTTGAAATTTGAATGTCATGATATCCAAAACATGTTTTTTGAGGAATAGCTGGAATACGAAATTTAAAAAAAATGTAACTACAAAGATACTTCAAGAAAACCACCTCACCGGGTCAAAAAAGACCCCCTTATGCATCTAAGGGTTAACAACATCTATTATGTTTGATTAAGCATAAATTAAAGTGAGGGGGGAAATTCACAGTAAAAAGAGCGCATATCAAACTTGTTGTTTTATGTATTTTTTTATTACATATTAAGATTTGGATATCATGGTTTTTTTGTATTATTATTATCAATAATTTAATTAACAATGATAATAATTTGTCTTTCTTTCTTAAATGCAAAAAAAGATTGTTGTTACTTTTGTTTTACATGGAAGTACTCTGTAATGTTCATTCATGCATTGACATAAACTGCCTTATTTAATTAAAGAAAAGTCTATCATGCATGCCTTTAAGGCAAAGGCAATACTACTTCAGGATGAAGATCCTTAATTGACTCATTTGTTTTAATTTGTGTACATTGAAGTTTGCATGTAAGCATTGTCTTCAACAATTGTTCGTTCAATGACAAAGTATGATTTTAGTGTATCTCAAAATGTAAACTTTAATATCAATTGTACACTTCTAATAATCTTTGTATTACTAATTGGTCTTGACGTTTTGAGAATTATGTAATTTGTATTTATATTTTTTCCGATAGGAAATACTTTAGATATCCAATTTGCTATCTTCATAAACCATGTCCGTACTTTGTGGTTTCTCCTGCAGTGTTCAAACATGCTTTACTTGTTACATACTACACCCAAGTAAATGATAATACAATAAAATACAATCTTGTGAAATAAAATAAATAAAATAAAATTGAATAAAATAAATGTGTAATAACAATTTAAATTAATTAAATACAAATAAATGAGCAGTTGTAGTGCGTACTAGGCATCGCTAGGTGGCAGCACTGAGGCAACAGTTTGTCTCCGCCCCGAGCAAATAATCCGACGTAGAAGAAACATCAACAAGAATGCGAAACTTCATGCGGACTGTCACTTCGAATCGGTCGTCTCAGTAAGAGGGATGGGAGTCCTACCAGGGAGAAGCCCTTTATCTTTGCTTTTCTTCATTATTCTCTTGTTGGAGGGACATTTTCGATGGGTAAGTGAAACCTAAAGCCCGATTTCTTGTGACTAAAAACATGACTCAGCTCGGTCGTTGCTACGCTGTTGTTTATCTGAGTCGGCTAACGAAACTAGGACGTTTAGCTATTTAAGATTTCTACTCTTGTTTTTATCCCAGGGCAAAAATAGCGTTAGTCGCTCATTGGCTTAACAGTAAACACAACATAATGGCTACCAACATTGCTAGTTGCAAACTGCACAGCACGACACAATGATCACATAACCTGTTAGCTTTGACATGTCTCACAGAAGGGTACAGGTTGTATCTTTGACTGAGCCGGTGTCGAAATAAGTTTCCTGCTCACCATCATGCCTTAACAGATTTAAAATACCCCCTAATTTGCATAACTATTCAAACAAAGCTTAGGTTAGTGTGTTCATGACGGTTAATGTTGTAATTACCCAAATATGTTAATGTTAATACCTCACAAAACAAGTCATTAAGCATGTAGACCTTAGGTGGCTTGAATGCTAGGTGCAGCTAGCTACATACATTTAAATATCCATGTTTGGATATGTAATATCTTTGTTATGCAATAAATAGGAGTTCAGATAATGTAATCATAGTGACAAGACATAGGAATCTTGAGTGTTTGTTTGTTTGAGCAGCAGTGTTCAAGGGTAATATTAATTACTAAGAGAGTAAGAATACATACAAGGCTAAATGAGCAAGTAGTACATGGACATTACAAAAGGAAAGACAGCAAACATTTAAAACAGATTATTGATATAAAGGTGTAATAAACAAAGTCCACTGTTCCAGATGCTCTGCTGTAGTTTAATGATGAGTACTCTTTTTTTACACAGACACCATCAATTATATATCAAGTCGATTTAGAACAACGATGTTATTTCACAACAAACGAGACAGGAACGGATCTATTCCTCTGATTTGATTGAATCAGATGTAGATACTCACTCATCAATAGTGTCTCCCTTGCATTGTTAGCATTCCTATTCATGTGGTAATTTGGTCAGCCCACTACAAAGGATAACCACTTCGAAACTGTGCTAAAACAATACATCAGAATCTGATTGATCATTGCTGTTTCAGTGTAAATGTCTGCAACCTCCTGGTTAAAGAAGTATGATGTGGTACGACTATTGTAAAACTATTGACTGTTGGGAGACTGCAGATAAGCAGAAAGGGATTTCTTTAAAAGGTGTGTGTGCTAGTTCCTTTAGTTGGGTTGGGTAGGGTAGGGTACATAATATTTCTGTTATGTATACAAACCACTTTAAACAAATATTGCAGTTTCTGATCCTTGCCCAATAAATCCACCTTTTTTACAATTAGTCCTAAGCAAGTTGACTTTGGACAAAATGTTATTATTGTACTGGCTTACTCTGCATCTTTTTGAAACACTAGCTGAAGCAATAATGACACACGAAAGCTGTCCTTGAACTATTCTCACAAGAAGCAGTAGGACGGTGGGTAAGACTGTGCTTACTCATAAAAAAGTTTGTAGAGTAAGTGAATTAACTTCCCCTCTCAACAAAGAACACGTGATCGCTCTCATGCTGAATAAACACACAACGGACAACTTTGACTGCAAAAGCTATATTGTTTTATACATTTACTTGTAATTCTATGTTATTGTATTTTTTCTACCATATATTCAAAGAAAATGTTTCAAGTGCTCATATTGAACTTTTCGTTGTAGACAGCGGCTGTTATGTTGCAGTTATCTTTATATGCTTGAAACATTTTTGCAGAAGTGAAATTACTATTTCCAGACATTCAAAGCACGAGATATTAGAAACAAAGGAAATGAGGCATGCCTAGAGGTTTTCTGTGGTTATATATATATATATAAAACCTCGAGGTAAATAGGTAGAGCTTCAACATGAGATCAGAGTTGTCCTTTTTAGCATCCAAAACCATGTCGCATGTCACATGGCCTTTTGTGGCATTTTTGAGGAACTATTGGTCTGTTTGGACTCTCTGTTTTCATTTGTTGGCATGACCTTGTACTTGTCCTTAATAGATATGAATAGAAGCAGGCTCCTATCATTAAAAACGACATCATATTTAACAGACTCTGGAAAAAAAAAAGAAGAATATTGATTGGATCCGAATAGACTAATATGTTTTTTGCTCTAACACTTCACAAATCATCACTGTTTCTTTTTTTGTCTTCCTGCCAGGTTGAGGCCCAGCACTGTGTGTGGTATGGCGAGTGCGGGGAGTCCGAAAAGGTGCCCGGAAAGAAATACAACTGCAACTACACCGGTCCTCCCAAACCACTGCAGCACGAGGGTTACGAACTTCTCACGGTAAATACAGTGTCATGATGCTGTTATTGATCACAATTGATGTTCAAAGTGCTCTTGTGTGACATGATTTTGCACTGTGTAAAAACTATGCTAAAGTGCATCAAAGTGACCTCATTCCTTTTTGTGTTTACTCACAGGAGCTTTGTCCTGGATATGACTATGACAACCGAAGCCTCTGCTGTGATATGAACCAGCTGAACACTCTCAAAGGAAGTCTCCAGCTGCCCCTTCAGTTCCTGTCTCGGTATGCGCTGCGCTTATAACATTAACTAATGATGCACATGACATTCTTGGAAGGGCAGTATCATTCCCTTTCCTGAAAACAAAGAGTAATCTTCTCTTTTGACAGCATGTGCAGCTTAAATGTCATATACTGTTATTCGAACATGCAATCCTTTGCTTTCCATGTTTCAAATAATGGGTTTAAGACAGACTGGCTCCCAGGCCAAATGAATATGATTTGATTAGGTTGGCCTATTTTCTTATCTTTGTAATCTTTAATTACTTCACTGCATACTGTATTGCCTTGTTTTTGCCATGAAACTATTTTATTATTCTTAATGTCCTGCACACACTCCTTTTCTTCATGTTGTTCCCTTCTTCCTCTCACACTCACTTTGTCTTTGTGCAGTTGTCCCGCCTGTTTCTTCAACCTGATGAACCTCTTCTGTGAGCTGACATGCAGCCCTCACCAGAGTCAGTTCATGAACGCCACCAAGATCGAAAAAGGCAACGTGGTGGAAGTGCAGTACTACATTGGACAGACATTTGCTAATTGTGAGTTCACAGCCAAATGTTGAAGTAGATATGAAAAGCAGCTTCACCTTCATTATTTCATGTCAGCTGAGTGTACTTTTTCCAGTTCCCTACTCAAACATACAGTCATGGTAACGTAATACAGTAGGTGACTAACTGTTGTAATGAGTCATTTTGGTCAAATAAAATAGGGAATGAACCCTTTAACCTTTGGAATATCTTGAGCCTCGCTCTAAAATGATCAAATTGAACTTTTCCAGCCATGTACAATGCCTGTAAGGACGTCCAGGCACCATCCAGCAACGTGAAGGCCTTATCACTGCTGTGTGGGAAGGACGCAAAGGACTGCAATGCTACCAACTGGATCCAGTATATGTTTGATATCAACAATGGACAGACTCCCTTTCCTATCCTCCCAATATTCACAGGTAAGTCATTCATGTGTGTTTCTTTTATAGTTCATGATCCCGCTGTAGAAAAAAATACACCTACTGTTTCTTTTCAGCAAGTTAAAAAGATGTTTACCTGATGCTTTTTCTACGATTGTTTTTGGCTCTAGACGCCCCTGTGTCTGGTTATACTCCCATGACCAACAAGACGTTCGCCTGCACAGAGGGCCTGGATGACGGGTCGGGCCCCTGCTCCTGTCAGGACTGCACAAACGCTTGCGGGCCCAGACCTGCTCCTCCCCCCCTCCCCCCTCCCTGGCTGATCCTTGGTATGGACGCTATGACCGTCATCATGTGGATCTCATACATGGCCTTCCTGCTTATCTTTATTGGAGCTGTAATAGGAGTCTGGTGTTACCGGTAAAGGACATTGTTTTGTTTTGGCTTTCAGATTCATGTGTCATACCTGCAAACCCTTATCCACTGTGAAAAGAACATATTGTTTTGAATGCTTGCTTTAGAAGCTTGTATCAAATTGGCTTATGTTTTTTTTGTTTTCATGCAGGAAAAGAACTGTCCTTTCTGAATACGGCCCCATATTGGACAGCAATAACCCTTTGTCTCTCAACGGGGACAATCCTGAACAAGGTATTGTGATGCTTCAAACAAGTGAACAGTTTTCTATTCTTTCTGATTATGCTAATTTCCAGGTTCATATTTGTATTTTATTCCTCAACTCTGCTTTAATATTCAAACTGGTCTTTATTGTTCTCATACTGCCTGTGCTGCAGCACCTCTTTTCACCCTCTGTCTGAAACCAAGTCTGCTCTGATTGGTTAACTGGCTGGCTCTGTTGTGATTGATCAACTGCTTAGAGATGACCCGCCCCTTAACCTATCATGTACAATGTGTTGGACTGCTAGCCAATAGAAGGGCAAGTGTTACATAGTGATCTATGTTACAGAAGTACACAAAGGAGTCCAATGGAGGCATTTCAGACAGGGGGGGGGAGAAAATCCCTCTGGGGGGAACTTTAGGATTTTAGCCTTTTCAGAACATTTACATACACAACAAAACCTGTATAACTCACTACAGCGAAGGGAAAACCCTAACAAGCAAAGTAGGGCCTCTTTAAATAAGACATTTCTCTGTCTCCTCTCCTCTTAGTAAATGCATCATGCTGTGAAACCTTGGGTGAACGCTTCGAGAACTCTCTGCGGACCCTCTTCACCTCCTGGGGCTCCTTCTGCGTGCGGTACCCCTCTGTGGTCATTCTGGGGAGCCTGATACTAGTGGTGGCCTCCTCTGGGGGCCTGATCTACATGCGCATCACCACAGACCCTGTGGAGCTGTGGTCGTCTCCGAGCAGCCAGGCCCGGCAGGAGAAGGACTACTTTGACAGCCACTTCGGACCCTTTTTCCGAACAGCGCAGCTCATCATAACCACTCCAATCGTCGACCCTTTTCTCTACTCTCCATACTTTGGAGGATCTGATGTCCCATTCGGAGCCATCCTGCGTAAAGACATCCTGCACCAGGTTGGTTTGTGTGAGAAATGATTTAAAAAGAGGAAATTAGCAATATTTGGTTATTCAAGCCGCTGTGTTTTTGTATAAAGAAGCTTTGTTCCTGTCACCAGGTTATAGTTACTTTGCATGAGAACAGCAGCTGCACTTCTGAAACTGCGGTTCATTTAATTCTCTTTTTTTGACTTCTTTCTTTTTTCCAGGTGCTGGATCTGCAGCTCCAGATAGAAGACATCGTAGCCACATACGAGGGCCAAGACGTGACTCTAAAGGACATCTGCTTGGCTCCGCTGGCTCCGTACAATAACAACTGCACCATCTTGAGTGTCCTCAACTACTTCCAGAACAGCCATGAAGTGCTGGACCACCTCAAAGGAGACGACTTCTTTGTCTATGCTGACTTTCACAGCCACTTCCTCTACTGTGTCAGGTGATTTATTTTTTTCTGGTTCACACAATATTTTCCAGATAAGCTGGCACTTGTCTTAAATGAGTCTTATTTTCCAGCAGAAATCTGTAGAAGTTAAGGAAACGTTGATCTCGTAGAAAGGTTATTTTGAACCTCTTTGTTGAAGCTGAACACCTGCGGCTCACAAACCAATGTTCCAGACTCTTGCATCTGCATTTTTCTAAGAACTGTCGTGTGTGTTTTATTTAAATAGTCCAATCAGACTTCCTCATTCTTTGTCACACTGCTGTTCCTTATCTGTCTTAAATGCACAAAAATAAGATGAGGTAACGGCACATGTTCCAGTTTATTAACTCTGTTCCTCTTTTCCTCCTCAGTGCACCAGCATCCCTCAACGACACCACTCTCCTCCACGACCCGTGTTTAGGAACCTACGGTGGGCCCATCTTCCCTTGGCTGGCCCTTGGGGGTTACGATGGTGAGCTAGACTAACACTGTTAGAGGGCGGAAAACGGAAGCCACTTTACAACTTCTCAGTAGATGGTTATATTGCACTAAGAAAAAAAAAATCTGTGCACGTTGTGTCACTAACTTTCTTGGTGTGAATCCAAAATGTTATCCGTAACACTTGATATTGTGCTCTTTGCAAATGGTGCAGTGTTGCCATTGCCATTATTTGCAGCCCAAATGTTATTGCTGTCACCTTAGTATTTATAATAAGCCCTATAATACATTCTAAGGAGTTTCTGCAGCAGACATGCAAGATGTTTGCAATAGTAGTATAAATGTAATCAAGAACAAATATAATTTCCACTTCCTCTAACTATCATGAGAGCTGCCAAAAACCTTTATTTGTTATTTCTATTGTATCTGGGCTGTTGTTGTCTCGTTACCAAAAGGAATGCTTAACTTTAACTGCCACTTCAATACACTTTACACATTTGGTTGACAACTGAGGATTTTTAAAGTGACGTTACAATGAATGTCTTTTTTCCTGCATAACAGAAACCAACTACAACAACGCCACTGCTCTCGTGATCACCTTCCCCCTCAACAACTACCTGAATGACACAGTGAGGACGGGCAAAGCTCGGGCATGGGAGAAAGAGTGAGACAACTACTTATAAAACTCATCAAAAAAAAAAAATGTCTTCCCATGTTAATGTTGTTCCTTGCAACTCATTTACTCAATGTAATTATTGTATGTGTGCTTTTCAGGTTCATCGATCTCATGAAGAACTTTCAAAATCCCAACCTCACCATAGCCTTCAGTGCTGAGAGGAGTATTGAAGACGAGATAAACAGAGAAAGCAACAGTGACATCAGCACCATAGTAGTCAGCTATGCCATTATGTTCATCTACATCTCCCTGGCCCTGGGGCACATCCACAGCATTAGGAGAGTGATGGTAAGCGCCCAATCTCACACCTATTACAATGAATCACCGCAGTCGTAAAACATATGTCATGCTTTTGCGACGCAAGAACTTTGATTGAACAGAACTAGTCAAACGCGTTTGACGACTTCCTGCTACTCTAACCTAAAAGGGAGCAGCTAGAGAGAAGAACATAACCTAATCCTCCATCTTTCCCCCTGCTCAGGTGGACTCTAAGATTTCTCTGGGTATCTCGGGGATCCTGATTGTGCTCAGCTCTGTGTCCTCCTCACTGGGGCTCTTCAGCTATTTCGGCATCCCCCTCACCCTCATTGTGATCGAGGTCATTCCTTTCCTGGTGCTGGCTGTTGGAGTGGACAACATCTTTATTATAGTGCAGACATATCAGGTAACCACCTCCCACCCAAATCCAGTCAAATGTTACACAATGACCCAGTGACAGAGAGTGTATTGCTTATGCTCATCTTATGTAACCCCTTAAAGGTCACCTATTTTCTACATCAACATGTGTCCTCTCTGTGGAAAGAGAGTCTGAAAGTTTCAGGAAAAAAAGATTCGCTCACTTTTTGTCCTGATCTATTTATAACAAAACATGTCTGAAAAAATGAGCTTTACTCATATTTACTTTTTAATATCTACTTGCACTATATTTTTCTGTTTTTCTGTATTATTGTGTTGCACTGTTGGAGAAGCCTGTGACCTAAGATTTTCAACGACATAACTAACTCTGTAGCTATGTTCGTATGAGAAATAAAGAACCTTGAACCTTGAGCTGATCAGATCTTGGCCACTTTATGATGTCATAATGATGTTTTGGCTTGTGTTACCAATCATCAACAAAGGTAACCCCCCCCCCCCC